ATGAAACGGCTATCCAAAGAGCACTGGACGCGTAAAGGAGACCTTGCAGCATCCATAACCGAACTTGCCACGGCTTTTCGCGCTGCTGCTTGACAATGGATCCATTTCGAGCAGGAGCACTAGGTCTTCTCGAAGCAATTCGTTGTTTCGTATTTGCGTCGAGCCAGCCTCCCAAGGCTTTACTTTTAGCCATGTGCTCCTTCTTCAATAGCTTCTCTTCCACTAACGGTGCGCAGCGCTCACACACTATCGGATAGCGTGTTTCTAGTGAGGTCCTGTATTCGGGAAGAGTTGCGAGTAACGCCTGATAGTTTGGGTCCTGCTATAGTATTAACATCAGGTATACTGAGGGACACGAAGCGACTGCTGACCGAGGGAAGGGGAAGATAATTAGCTAGCATGTTGGTGACCAAAGTCTGATTAACTGTGCATTCGTGACAAAATATACTCTGTTCTACAGTAGTTGGAATCGCGGCTTTGCTTGGGGTCCCTGACGCCAGATTGTCAGCAATTTTCTGGGACGTTCATCAAAGAATAGAAAGGAAAGCGCACCTTTACGGGAAAATGAAGACATATTTGCTTGTGTATCGTACATTGCAGCATCAGAGGATGTGATTTCTCCGGTTTGTCGGTCGTAATGGTTCATACTGGAACATGATGGACATTCGAAATTGAAAGGATCAGCTGGTGCTTTATCCAAGACGTGTTGACAGTAGAAGCATTGTGGTTTCCTCTTGAGGGACCAGAAGCGTGACATACGATGCACTGTGGTCGGAAGCCAAGTTTAGATCTTACACACTTGGTCTTGTTCCATCTACTAAATTACAGAAGACGATAAATAAAAATCAAATAAAATTGTACATTGAGTTTGACCCATTCTGGCATTCGTAGATTTGCTAAGAGATGGGCATATTGCATCGCATGCCGTCACCAACTCGATGAGGTAAATCCTATCCAGTAGGCATTGGCTATCGTCGTCGAAAGCATCGCCTAAATAATGACGCTATACGAGGGTTAGGCAGTGCTGCCTTCAGATTCTTGCGCCATAGTCGATGAGTATCACGTTGCGCAAATAACGTCGATATGGTAGGACGTCGCGAGTATCTGTGTAAAGGTCGAATGATCAACCAAGCTCCAACATAAGGGACCTATTATTACTCTAAGAGCCAATTTAGCTTCTTTAAAGCATCCTTTGCTGCTAGATGCTTGGCGCTTTGCTTGTTATATGCTTTTCCAATTCCTGTTTGCCCCGAGACTGTGGCAAGTCAGCCGGCGTATCGACATTTTGGGCCGCAGTACACAAATAGACCGAGTCTACTCACCGGTGACTTTAGCAGTAAACGTTGGCCGGTGTGGAGGACCTGCACTCTCCGTTGACCAGTCAGGGGTTAGATGCCTTTGTGCGGCAAACTGGTTAAACAGTGCCAGGTATCCACTCGTCTGTGCTGTAGACTGTGATACAATGGGATTGGACATAGAAGAACCTCTGGGTGGGCCAGATGATCCAGAAGAAGTACTACTGGCCGTTTGATATACACTGCTAGCAACGGTGTATGGTGAGCTGTTGCTAGAGCCTGGCGAAGTGATCGTGCCATTGGGATGAAATCCAAGGCCACCAGCTTGACTACTGATTGACGTCCTTGAATTTAGCGTACTAAGACTAAATGGTCTCTCTGGACTGTATATTTGGGGTGGCGAGAGTATTGGGGGTTTCGGCTGGCTGTATAAGGTATTTTCTTGGGCCTTCGGCGTTGCTAACAATGGGCTCTCGGTAAAGGGAGTCGATGATATACTCGCTGTACGGGGAGTCTGCCCTCTTATTGCTGGGCGAGGATTATCCTGAATGGAGAGACTCATGGCATGGACTCGTATAACGTCGACCTCATCGTCAGGAATTGACTGCTGAGGGCTGTCCGGTCCATATGAGTCACCCAACGAGGTAGCGAATGGAAAGAGAGGAGGCGCTTAGAACTGCGATGGAGAATGCTAATATCAACGACCCAAATCGACCTGGCACCCCCCCTTCACAACACGGCCCCTCAAATCCTGGCAGTCCCACCTCCCCTCAACCTGCCGGCTCCGGAGGACTTGCTCTGTTCAACGAAATATGTGTTCACAAGAAATTG